TTTTTTATGTTTTTGGGTTAAAAGATACAGTGCATGATAGGGTTATTATAGTTAACGAAAACTAAAACTGAAACCAAAACCATAAAAAAAATATTATTTGAAATAGAATAAAATATATATAAAAAATTATTTCAGCTAATGCCAAGACAACAATTCTCATTTTGATTTAGCTTAACTTGATGTACTTAACTAAAAGTAAAAATGAAATAAAAATAATACATTTACATTTCTTCATTTGGCAGACACTTTTATCCAAAGAGACTTACAATTGAGGAATACAACAAGCGATTTACCGTAAGATGGCAAAAAACAGGAGAAGTGCCTGTTATACAAGGTTTCAGTCGTCGTTCAAAGTAAAAGCTAGGACAGGAAGGGATAAGGATAGTAAGAGAACAGAAACATTCTCTTTTATTACAAGTTCTCTTAATAAAAAATGAGACATAACAAAAACTAAGAATGACAAATTACTAAAACTTTAAAATGAAAATGGAAAATATAAAAATGAAAACAACAGCAATAATGACTATAATAGTATCTCAATGATACTAAAATTACACCGGTGCATGACTATCCTTCTAAATGAATGAATGAAGATCATGTATTGGATAGATCTAAATAAAGCATTGGGTACAGAGAGCAGGATAATGAAAGTGAATCACAGAATACTTCACGTGAATACGAGGTGCTACACATCGGTGCTGATGCTGTGATGCGTCAGCACTTCCTGCATGGTGACAGAGCGGATGAGGTTGAGTTTGTGGAAGCTGGGCGTCTCCATTGGCAGGTCTAATTCCTCCTGCTGCAGAGTCCTGTAGCTGATCCTGCCACCTCCATTACGCTGCCCCTCCTGTGGGCTCATGTAGAGCGGCAGATACCCCGAGCAGGACGGGCAGAAAGTGTACGAGCGGGGCGGCCTGTTGGGCACCCGCGGTATGTATTGAGGATAACTGACCGGTCCGTTGGCCTCAAAAGGCTCTGCAGTCATTAGCAGCTGATTGGAGGACGTGTATTCAGGGAAGTGTTGGAGACTCAGCGGACTCTCAGGTGAACTCGGTTGGTGCAGTGGATTTGGAGATGCCTTGGCAACGTCAGCCTCCTCCTCCCCCTCCTCCGACTCATCTCTTTTACAGCAGTAATACTAATGAGCAGAGTGAGACGTCACACTCAATATGTACGTGAATAGAGAAGAGGGAGTTACTTATGAGACTATACTGTAGCAGAAGAGCAGATTTACCTGCAGCCTACAGTAACACAGAACTGTGACAATAGTTAGCAAGATGACGGCAGCCAGAATTCCACCTGTGATGACCACTGTGCCGGCTGTCATTCGAAATCCTCTCCATCAACAAACTAAGCAAGCCATAAAGACAAAAAAAACAGTGATACGATGAAAATGAATATTTACGATGCTGTAACGACTTGACTGATCAGACACACAATTATTTGTTATATTTAACAAATAATCTTTAAAACCCACTCTGTGAGTTCCATGGACTATCCCCCAAAAGTGCAAGTAATATGTGTTTATAATGTGTATATTTATTATGTATATATAAATACAAACACATGCATGTATATAAGAAAAATATGTTATGTTCATGTTCAATATATTCATGTATAATATAAAATATAAGAATATAAATATATACATGTAAATAAGTGTAAATATTTTCAAAATATTTACTGTATGTGTGTGTATTTATATATACATAATAAATCAGTACACATACA